GGTGCTTTCTCTGCTTTCAGAAATCTTTGAACCAAAATAAGGCACCTTCCTAGAAAACAAGCTGTAGTTTCAAAATGATATAGAAATTCCCAGGTGAGTTTTTCTGCCCTGCACTGTGCAGAAGGTCACACGTGATTATTAGAAGGGTCCTGCTGGCCTCAACATCTGTGAAAGTTTGCTGCAGTTCCTTTGAATAGCTAGTCAGCTTAGTAGGAAGTGACTTATTTTTTTTTCCCCTGTTGGCATGTTATCAGAAGAGATCAGACTAATTGCATATTTATCTGGAATTACAGTTATGAATCTGCTCTAATAAGGCAGTAATTCATATCTTGAGTGATTTATGACCTGAGCCTGAAAGCCCTCTGAATCCTTTGACTGCACTGGGATTTCCTAAGGCAAGGTCATTGCAGAATTTTGCTTCCTTGTGCTGTTGATACCCTGATGGTGTGGAACCAGCACCTTCACAGTGCCACTTATTTGTTAGTATTTATACAAAACATCACAAGCAGACCCAGAATAAATGCAATTTGTGTACTATTTTCTTATTCACCTACTAATTTAACAGCTCCTGAAGTCCTCTCCTGCCTTACCCCACTGTGGTGTCTAGATGGCTTAGGAGGAGTTTTAGGAGGCAATTCTTCTTCACTCTGAAACTTGTGCTGTTAAAATTCATTTAGCTTCAACAAAGGAGAGTAACGAGCTTTTATAGTCCCTGTGAAGTAGTTTTAACCTAGGACTCAAAAGACAAAGACTGCTGTTGAATAACAATATTTATTTAGCATTTTAGCATTTAAATCTTTTTCTATTTGGATTTGTCTTTCCTTTTGAACTGGAGGCATAAGTTCCTCTATTTGCCTGCAAACCTCTTTTTTTTTTTTCATCTCATACTGAATCCCCAGAAAATCCTCAAATATTCTTGCAAATCTCAAAGATACTATGGCGTTAGCCCCCCTTCCTCCCCATTTAGACCTTTGAAGGCTGGTGTGACTAGAATGATTTTGGAGTTATAGCTCAGAGTCTGAATAAAAAATGAAGGGAAGCATTTTGCAATACCGTAGTCAGTACAATAACTAATTACTTATAGATTTTAGGTCACATTTGAAAAGACAAATACTGAAATAAATGGATAATCGTTTGGAGCCACCACTAAGAGTTTGTTTAAATACCTTGGGTTAAATTCAGCTCTGTGTCACAGCAGAGCAGCTGCCTGCACCAATGCATGCTCTAGGTTCGTGGCAGTACCAGTGAGAGCCAAACTGGCCCCTTTGTGGAGATCAGAAACACTTGTGGCTCAGGCTTGTGAACTGCACTGGATGATTGGTTGGGCTTTTCCTGGACCATGCCAGTGGGAAAAGAGTTAACCAAGCAAAACATGACCGGTGCTGACACCAAGCAAGACAAAAAAAAATGTCTGAGTGTTTTGAGACCAGATGCTGCCTTCTACCATGATGTTTAGCAGAAAAAGCTAAGAAATGTGCTGGCAGATTTGTGGCGATGTGATCTAAAACATCAGAAGACTTCAGAAGAGAAGGATGAAAATACAGTTAGTGACTCCTATATGATGTGATTAGTTTAATCTTTAGATACAGCCAGCATGTGTGTTAATGGTGTTTACCTGTCTGTAATATGAGCAGAAAAGTAATTCCTTCATTGCATCTTTTAAAATTATGACTTTAATGTAATAAGTGCCTTTTTTCACTTTTGCAACTGGAATTGTCAGTAATTTTGGTAAGGAGAGGTGTGTTATGGATGCATCAGGCATAAACTTCAGGCATTGGAAACCTGAAGAACTGGCTTTTAGTTAGTAAATATTTTGCTCTTCAGCATCTCTGTGTGCCTGAGTGGGGCTTTGACTTGTGGCTTCTGTTGAGGATACAAAAACTGCATTCAGCATCTCACCAAACTCCAGGGGCAACCTTCAGCCTTCTCCTTCATGTAATTTTCCTGAGGTTTGACAGTAATGCCAATATCAAGACATGGAAATGATTAGACAAACACTCTATTCATTAACACACATTCTCAGCAGGATCCTCCAGGACCTAAAGTTCTGATGCTGCAAAATTGGCACCTCGCTGCAGGGCTGAGTTTTCTGGATCCAACTGTCCATGGAAGAGGTGTTGGCTGGGGAAGCAGCAGCCTGGGTGCCTGCCTGTGCAGTGGGCTGAGAGGGATGGCACATGCCTCCTCCCTTCCCAAGGGGCATGAGATGAGAAACCTCTCTTCAGTTGCTTCCCTGTGGATTTTGGTAAATCCTTCCAGCCACAGCATGTATCCCACAGTGCCTGGCTGTTCCCCATTCCTTCACAGCTGACAGAAGGCCCAGTTTTCTCCCCAAAAGGAGAAAAGTTTCAGTTTGGTGCCAGACAGCCTCTATGAAGTGTTCATCTTCTTGGAAAAGTAGTGCTGGGTGTGTTGGAAATGATGTTTTAGGGCTCAAGAAAAGATTTGTGTTCTCAAGGGACTCTGCTAACTTACCTCAGAAATACATGTGAACCAGCAAGAAGGGAAGACAAACTACCCAAATCCCCCCAGTTCTCCCCACCCCAAATCTCTTCAGATCACAAGGAATGGTCAGGGGCAGGGATGGAAGCAACTGGAAATAACATTATTCCTAAGGGAAAGTGTCCCTTTTTTAGTTAATTGTATCCCTTTTATCCATGACAGTGTAATTGCATTTTGCTTAACTAAGTCTTTTTAATTGGTGCTGGGTGTAAATGATAAGCAAAGCTGCATCATTCCTTTTCAGCTGTCACAGACATCTCTTTTAGGGCAGTGCAGAGCCTTACAAGCTGGGATCTAATAGCACTGAGCTGGGTATTTGGGGGGAGATGGTGTGGCCATGCAAGGCAGCCTCCACACCTCAGGATTACATCTTTTTGTAGGTGCAAAAGGCTTTTTTGCTGCTCACCAACTATCCCATGGTGATTTGTGGCACCCTTCCTGCGCCAATGGACCTTCCCTTAGACTGGAGAAGTGGACACATGGAGCAAAAGTGCCCTCCAGACCTGCTGCCTTGGGGTCCCAGTGCTGGGTTTCAAGCTCCAAATGCCACTGGTGTGAGTTGTGTCCTGCCCCCACAGTGGTGAGGCTGGGGTTGAGCTGTGCAGCTGTCCATCCAAGGGGACACCTCAGACATGCAGACAAAATCTGGGGTTTTACCTTAGAAGATGTGTTTCTATCTATTAAGAGTGGACAGCAAAACCTGCACAAGTGTCCCAACTGCTCAGCAGTCAAACAGTGAGGCACAGGAGACTGCATCAGAAAAGTATTTTCCACTCCTTTTTTTTCCAAATAGCTTTCTGGGAGGACTGGGAGTAACTCCACAGCCAGAGTTACTGAGGACTGAAACTCCCACAACCTAAGTCATGTCCTCAAACCGAGCTCACTGCTCTGCTCTTGGGCTTGGTGTCTTGCTGCACGTGCCATCAGGATGTTCAACAGAATAAAACACATTTTTGTCCTTCCCTGCAACACATGTGGGGTATCATGGAAAATCTCTGGCTGCATCATCAGGCCCCTGTGGCTGCCACTGCCCTCCCATTCCTGGGATCACAGAATCACAGAATGATTTAAGTCGGAAAGGAACTTAAAGATCATCTAGTTTCAGTCCCCTGGGCAGGGACACCTTTTGCTAGACCAGGTGGCTCAAAGCCCCACCCAACCTGACCTTGAACACTTCTGGGGATGGGGCAGCCACAGATTTTCTAGGCAACTTGTTCCAGTGCCTCACCTCCCTCATAGTAAAGAATTTCTTCCTAATAGCTAATATACACCTACTCTCTTTCAGTTTAAGGCCATTCCCCCTTGTTCTATCACTACATGCCCTCATCAAAAATCCCTCTCCAGATGTCTGGTAGGTATTTGGAAGGTGCTCTAAAGCCTCTCTCTCTTTAGGCTGAACAGCCCCAACTCTCTCAGCCTGTCGTCAGAGGAGAGGTGCTCCAGCCCTCTGGGCATCTTCGTGGTCTCCTCTGGACTCGCTTCGGCAGGTCCGTGTCCTTCCCGTGCCGGGGGTCTCAGAGCTGGACGCAGTGCCGTAGATGGGGGTCTCACAAGAGCAGAGCAAAGAGAGATGCGCAGGAACCGCGGTTCCCCGTGGGATAAAGCAGTGGGGACGAGGAGGCAGGAGCAGCATCCGGGCTGAGCCGAGCCGAGCCGAGTCGATGCCGCGGACCTCCCGCGGTGGCTTTGCGGAGCGGGCGGCGGCCCTTGAGCTCCCCTTAGTGCCGGGAAGGAGCATTTGAGATAACCGGGAGCCGCGGGCGGGGATGAGGATGGCCGCGGGGAGGTAGGTGGCTGATGGGTCCTGGGGCGGTACCCGCGGCTCATCCTGCAGGTCCCACCGCGCCTCTGGCATTCCGCCGTTCTCCTTGATTGGAAAACCTTATTTATAGAAAGTAAATTGCATCAATCGCATAGGAGCCAGGAAAGCCCAGTCCAATATTTTCTCCTTAATACATCTACAGATGTGTGTGTAATTTTATTTATCTGTTTATTTATTATTTATTTAATTATTTATTTTTAACACCAATCAATAGCTTATTCATTTCTGATACACCATGATTTGATATATTTTTTATTTGTCATCCTTTTGCTTTACTGGATCATCTAATTTCTAAAGTATTAAATGCTTAGCTTTATACACCAGATAAGGTAAAAGGTATTGCTCCTGGAGAGACTGGTTAGGAAATACTGACAGAGAAGGCAAGGGACTTGGCTAAGGTCAAAAACAAGGGCTATGCTAAACCAGGATAGTATGGTACTTAGATCCCAGGCACTTATTTTTGCACTTTAACCTGTGATCAGCATAATTTCTGGAGACTATTTATACTTGCATGCCAGAGAGTTCATCTGATGATTTCTGAGCATCTGCTGTCTTGGGTGTATACACCCCCTGGGGGGTTTAGGCTGAGATTCACAATCTTACTGTGATGAAGATGGACTAGTCAGCTCAGCTGCAGAAACTCCCTGTTTCTGCACACTGAGCCTCTCCTCTTACTGCACTAAGCTAACGTGGACCATCTCCCCCCTTGTGCACTTAGAGGTCACACAGTTGTGAGCTCCTGCAGGTGAGCTGATGTCAGGTAGCTGGAAAAGCTGTGAACTGGCTCACATGCCTGAGCTCCAATTGTTTGGTGACAGCTGGGATGTTCCAGGTTACCTGGGGGTCTTGCAACCGTTACTGATGTACGAAAAATTCAAATTTCTTTGTCAATACTTTTGTGACCTGGTAAGGAGACTATATGCACAGCCTGACGAAATTGGGTTTGCATCATGAAGAAAAGCCCCAGGGAGAGCAGAGGTGACAGCGGCTCCCAGGGCAGTTTCTGTGTCCCATCAACTGCACTCCACTCCAGCATCCTCGCTGTGGCCGCAGTTGTGTGAACCCCAGCTGTTCTTTGAACAGTAGATAATTGAACTTTCAGACCCACTGCAATTTACTTCGTCAAGCCAAATTGTTCCAGTGCCTTTGGAAGATAAAGTAAACAAAAAAAATGTTGGTCAAGAGAAAGGGTTATGCACTTTTTTTAAAGAGACTCCTGGAAATAGTGGGCATGTGTTGAGTTGCATGGTTGGCTTGTTGGAAATCAAGCTTTAGAGCACAGTTCAAGCAGCACTTGACATGTAGCTCACTCATCCCAAGAGGAATGAGCTGCCCTGTTGAGATCCTCTTTGCTCTCCTGCTGCTTGTGTAGGTGACATTGCTGCATGTAACCACCCATGCCAGGCCTGGGGATGTGGAAAGTTGTTGTGGACTCACCTCCACCAGCTGTGAAAGCAGAGACTGCATGGCTGAATCCCAGCATTCGGCAGACTACAGCAGCCTCTTGCAAGGTCCAGTGATCATCACATATTGTTCCCCAGATCCCTTCGTGTAAGATTTCCACACGGCCCCTCCTGCTTTCTCCCACGATCCGTATATGATTGGAGTCGGCTGGCAGTTTAGGAGAGAAGAAAATAACTCTATGGGTTATACAGACACAAGAACCACAGAAGCAGTGACCACCCAAACCAGAGGGATGTTCCCATCTCTGTGGCTGTAGCCACAGTGGGACTAGGTTACTGGTACAATTTAACCCCCTCCTGCATCTGGAGACAGCAGGCTGCAACTCAGAGCACAGACCCCTTGGTTCTGGTAGCTGTGCTGTGGGTTAACTAGGATGAGCAAAGGGGAATGTTGGTCCTGATCTCAGGTAGCTTCAATACCAGAAGGCAAGTGAGAGAAGAAGTGAAAGTCCAGTACCTTCTCCCTTTTCACCTTTGCTCCCTTTTGGTCCTGGGGAACCTGTTCCAAGTTAAAAAAAAAACACAAACATTTGACAGCTGCTTACAAAGAAGTCCAGTTATTGTCTTGTTCCGAATGCTTGTATGAGTCAGAGATGTGAAGACTCCTTCCCATTGTGGACAATGAAAACCCTGAAGTGACTAAGGGTATGTAAAAGAAATGTGGCAAGAAAAGTACGATAACATACAGCAAAGTTTTCCTAATGTGTGATGCAAGAAAAAGGTCAAAATCCCATCCACTCACGTGTGCAAAATGTATCTCATTCCCTCTGCTACCTGTAAAATGACATCTCTGATAGCCTTTGGGCTCTCCAGAAGCAGGCACAGTATCTCCTAAAGTACTTGAATGAAGATCTACATCATGGGGTTTGTTCTCCAGGGACAGCAAAAAGTTGCTCCCAACAGTCCTCCACATTTCTGTGCAGCATCTCAGTCTCAAGAGTAGGGGTGTTTGAAAAAATCCAATGAGCTCTTCCCCCAAAAGTTACCTCCAGAAAGCCTTTATTGCTGTCTCCTTCTGGGGACCAGAAGATGAGACCCACCCAGAGGGCAGTGCTTGTCCTGGAGCCAGCCAAGTTACAGTTTTCCCCTCTTCCAGAAGCAAAGCTCCAGAGGAGGAGCACATGGAGAAGCCTCACTTACGATCTACTTTATTTTATTTCTGAGGATTCCTTTACTATTCTATGTGAACAATTAAAAGAAAAATCATATGTAGCACTGGTTGCTTCCCACGGCCTGTTATAACTACTGTTTGGCTTTTTCTTTTGACTACAGGTCTTAGGGCTTTTGGAAACCCATGTGATGGGAAGGGGGGGGGGGTGTAAGGAAGGAGAGTAGCTGTAGTGTTGGCCCTTTTGAACAACTTTTGTGTCCTACAATTAGCAAGGTGTAGTTAAATAGCCTCACCATCAGGTGTTTACAATTTTGTGTTCCTGAGTGCTGTGTTTATCTGGGATTTATCTCCGTGACATGGTATGCTGCAAGATGTCTCTGCACAGGGCAAAAAGGGACATTGCTTGTTCCAGTTTTTTGTAAGATCAGTAATTTGAGAAAATCTAATGTATCTGTTTACTTGCATGTCTTTTAGCACACCTCCCAGGGTGTACATGTGACAGTCTGCACACTCCTCTTCTGGGAAGGCTAATCTGTCTGTTGAGTTCCTCCAAATGAGCTCTGTAACATGCCTCAGAGCACCTTGTGCCAGTCTGAGATCTACAGTCCTGAACCCAAATGCACCATCAGCTCCACAGACCCTTTGGCAAACGGTCTTACCAGACAATCCTCGGTCTCCCTTGGCTCCTTTTGGTCCCAGTTCTCCTTTTTGACCCTGAGTGCCAGAATCACCTTTGCTTCCTTTTTGACCAGGTAGGCCTTGGATGCCTGGGTGTAGAGCAAAAAAGTAATTGCCTTTGTATCTTCCCAAGGAAAGAATGTGTTGATGCAGAAAGGTGGAACATGGCATTTAAAGTGCTTTGCATCATCAGAGTAAGTTATGCTGTAAAACACGGGTTTACCTTTTGGGCCCTGGTCTCCCTTTTCTCCCTTTTGCCCTGGAAGACCTAAGATCATCAAAACAAACAAACATACGTACACTTATAAAACTAATATTTATACATTTATAAAAGCTTATGCAAACTAGTATTTATGCAGGATTTTAACTTATCTAGTTTAGGTGTCTATTCTGTAGACATCTATCTCTGAATTGGGTGTCTTATTTCACATCGTACTCAGTGCAGACCACATCAAAAAAGAAAATACAGGCAGTGGAGAAACATCTTCTCCTGAAGTAGGTCAACTCCTGGTGATTTATTTCATATCCTAAACTCCACTGATGGCATAGAGACTCTTCCTCCAGCTGGACCTTCACTAACCATACAGACAGCCTAGACATTTAAATTTAGGTGCATCAGACATATGAAAGCATGTAAAGTTGGGCCAGGTGACTCTCATCCCTGTCATTCAGCTGTCAGTGAAGGTAGAAAAGTGCAGCACTTGGACCTTGGTTACATCCTGAAGGCCATGAGGTTGCATGCACTATATAAATTCAGGATTTTAAAGGGCTGATTCAAGAAAAGTACACCAGAATAGGTTTGTACAGCAGAATGTCACCCTGTTGTTTGGGTGCCTGGGACAGAGAGGTGACCTTTTTCAAGTGGAATGTCACAGAAAAGGCCTCGTTTGTGTGCCCTAAGTTGGCCTCTGAAGACACTTCATCCTGCAATGCTACAGAGGAGTCCAGAATGGATGCCTCCTTCCCCATCTTCCCTCTAGCCAGTAAAATTTGTCTTTAACTCCAGATTAGGGAGGTTGTTGTTTAGTTCATCTTAAACTGATGCTTTGTTTGTACATTTTCTATTTATACAAAAATTCAGGCAACATCACCTCCTCACACATGTTACAGAAGGTAGAAACAACTCTCTGGTACATAGCCATCCCCCAGCAGCCTGGCAGAGGCCCAGGACTGCCATGGCATCCTGGGATGCACTGGGGCTCCAAGAACAGGACTCAATAGATCTCCTCCTTTCCCGTGCCTGCATAATGAGGATTGTTGACCCAAAACCTGTCTTATTGTCCTTTACCTCTTACTCCTTGTTCTCCTTTTTCACCTCTGAGTCCATCAGTGCCTGCTATTCCTAAAATTAAAAACAAATCAGTAAGGGTGAAGCCATCATACAAAGTGAGGTCAGATTAAGAGCTCAATGAGTTATATTTGAGTAGTGTTGTACCTGGGCTACCTTTGGGTCCCTGGTCCCCCTTCTCCCCTTTCTGACCAGATCTGCCTTCAGGGCCAGGACTTCCCACAGTTCCAGGCTGTCCAGGTACACCTTGAGGTTGAGTGAAAGCAGCACATATGAAATGTAACACAAAACTTGAAGGACATAAGAAGAAAGACAGTTCAATCACCAACCCCTGCACTGTACAGACTGAGTTGACCTTATGAAGGCAAAACAAACACTGGGTCTGTCCAAATCGCAACCCTCCTCTGGCAGCACTAATCTTAGTGCAGCAGGGAGTGATGCTCTGCAGTGAAAGGCTGTATGGACCCAGGTCCTTACCGTCTGTCAGCCTTGACATGCACAAGTGCTTTCTTAACAGAGCAGCCAATTTCTACCCTTGCATGTGCACACACATCAGGAAGGAGACACAGCCCTCCACAGTTCAGGACCCTTCTTTCCCTCTCAGTCTCTTGCACAGTGAGTGGGGCCCGAATGAGGCAGCCAGGGCTGCAGCATGAGTTTGCACAATGTTGGAACATTGTCGTGGTTTCTTCATCTAATCATCATCTCTTACCCAGGCTGGGATCTAGGCTGGCTGCAGTTTTCTTCATCATGAAGCACCTTCTAAAAGAGATCAGTCCTATATCTCTAGAAGAACCTTCGCCTTCTGTATTGCTTACCTGCCTCTCCTTTCTGCCCAGGAGGTCCAGGCTTCCCTGTGGTACCTGCAACAACATCCTGACATCAGTGCTGACAAGGCTTAGCCCAATGCTTCAGTTAGGGCAGCCCTGCACCACAGCATGCGAGTGCTGATGGTGGGTCACACTGTGGCCTCTGCACTTACCATTGAAACCTGGCAGTCCTGGGACTCCCTGTCGTCCCTGAGGACCTGTGGGTCCATGTGACCCAGGGTCTCCCTTCTTGCCTGTGTCACCTTTCTGTCCTTGGACACCTATCAAACACCATAGCACACACGTATAAATTAAAAATAAAACCCCGATTGTCTCTGCAGCCTGTGGAGCACCTCTGTCTAGCCACACCAGTAACAAAGTTTGGCCTTACACCTGCCATCATTCAGTGGCATTCCTGTAAAGCTGCAGAAGAACAGGGCTGGTCTTTTGGATCCACCTCTGACTCTGTCAGACTGTCTGGGCAGATGTTTGTCTGACCTGCTGTTAAAGACTTGCAGTGGTGCTGTGATACCTCTCCAGTCTATTCCTTAAGCTATCCCTACCACTACAATGGTTTCTCCTTTAGTTAAATATCTTTTATTGCAGCCTGCATCCTTCCCTTCTCCTAGCCACAGTGGAGATACAGGACAGCACATTCCTGTGGTTCCAGAGTTAGCTCCCCTTAGCCTTCTCTTCTCTCAGCAGGTGATAAGCATGCTCCAAAAGAGCTCAATTACTTAACAGTGCCTCACGTAAAGTCTTACATTTCCTTCATCTTTCTGCTCCAGAATTATCCCGAAGTTCTTGCCTTTAGGTATTCCTCCTACAATCACTTTTCTCTTCTGGAGCAACTTGTGCTAATGAGTGCACTGGTGCATATGGGATCTGATGGAAGATCTGAGGAAGCTCTTATCAATCTCTCCAACTGTCCTCCCTGCTCTGCACCACACACATCATCTGCTTTCTTTTCCTATCCTGCTTTCAGCCCATGTGAGACCACTGAGTAACAGCTATCCAGGAGATGCCCACTAATGCATGTTACATGGAGAAACACGTTGCATAACTTTTCTACTTAAGGTGTATAAAGTCAGACTTATGTAAGATATAAAGCTCTCAGAAAGAGGTTTCACTAAAATGACGACTAATATCCACATGCTTCTGCATATAAATTATATTGTATTATTTTATATCACGAAAATCCTACTGCAAACATTGGTGCTTTAATCTAGGCGTGATAGATAGGCAGATAATTGAATATCTATGGATTAATTAGACAAAGGTCACTCTATAAAAATCTTCCATGGTGCAGAGTCAATATTTTCCATGACCCCTTCCCCCAGCCCTCCTTTGGGAGCTTTGCTAAAACACGACACGAAATCAAACCCCTTCAGATCAGGTTGAGTGTCCTGTTTATCCAGGACACTCATTGACTGGCAAGCCAGTCAATGGTTATGTGGCCAGGGCTATGTGGATTTTTATGAAATACTGATTTATGAAGCCTTCTTCTAGTGTTTCACGTAGAATGAGTTTAAACAGAAATACGTGCGAGAATCTTAGGTAGTGAAGAAGTCTTACCTGGAAGTCCCATCTGTCCTTTTTCTCCTTTCACTCCTGGCACACCACTTGAACCAGCAGGACCAGGATCTCCTTTGCTCCCCTTCTCGCCCTGCAGTCCATGTAAGCCTGCAAGGACATCACTTTTTTGATGCTCCATTGGATGCAGTGCCTAGTGAATGCCAGCAGCAAACATGCAGCTCATCCACAGGCAGGAGCCAAATTCCCCTCTCCCTGAACTTGACAGTGTGAAATTGGTCCACTGTGACTGTTGCACATTGACTTTTAAAATAAGATTTTTTTTCCAGCTAAGATTTGCTTTTGCTCACATTAGCTCTATATAGGCTTATATTTCCTTCAATGACATTCTTACTTACTTACACTTTCACTGAGGGCAAGATTCCCCATAAAATCATCCATAAAGCCACTTTATGTCCATCCATAGAAGTAATTCAGGTTTCAGAAAAGCCTTACCCTGGATTCCTTGGTCTCCCTTTGTCCCCGGTGGTCCCCGTAGCCCTGAGATATAAAATACATGTATCAGCTGACACGCATCATCTATTCCCAGTAATGGCTGAGAGGAAGAGATGAATTTTTTAATCATCCTTCGTGCACCAGTTTTGGTCACCAATCTTCAGCTGGCAGGGACCAGCACAAACGCTTGGGTAAAGTCCTTGGAGCTTAGCTGAGTGCATGGCTGGGCAGGGGCCAGCTGTCATCCAGCCAAGCCCAGCTCATGGGGACCATTGGGGAGGTCTTCCATGAAAGTGCACTGAACTATTGGGCTCTGATGTGTAATAAACACTGTTTGGCAGGAGGTGCTGTTTTAATGTTGTAAGTGAAGCCAGGAAGATATGAAAACATGATTTTTAAAAAAATTAATATTTTTTTTTTTCCAGAAAAGCTCATCAGTGTAGCCAAGAAGTAGGGATGGATGAGCCACAGACCTGACCCAAGAGGGGTTGCATCTTAGATCATCATCACAGAAGAGTAGGCCTAGTCCGACTTCTGCTCAAAGTGGAGCCAACATTAGATCAGGACTTGCTGCATCCTCACAGTCTGGAGACATTTATCTCCTGCAGCAGGTGTAGTTCTACCCAAGCCCCAGGTACCCAGGGCAACAGCTTGTGCATGGCTGTGGAGAACAGCCCTTGTGCCCAGCTCATTCCTAAGTCTTTGCCATCGTTTTCCTAGGGACAGGGTGGGCAAGGTCCCATCTCTGTCACATGCACTGTTCAGCTGTGACTCTACAGGGCAGGGACTGGGGAGGTCTCCCTGAGTTGTCCTGGAGTAAGCTGGACAGCATGAATTGCTGTGTCTGGGGCAGAAAGCTCAGCTATCTGCTGATTGTGGGATGCACATAAACCCCCTCACTGGTCCTCTCTTGTGTCACATGGAGATTTGGGATGGTTACTGCAGATAATGATCAGGTACAGCTGCTCCATCACCCCTGAGCTTTTCTGGTGGGGTGTCAGTGAGGAGGAAGAGACAAAATGCTCCTCCGTGGTGGTTACCAAGCACTCGGGCCAGCCAAGGCTCCTGGAGGATCAGTCAAAAGGTACAGCAGGTCTCCTCATGGCCAGGGCTTTGGGTGTGTGCACATTGGATAGGGTCTGGGTCTAGAAACTGAAATCCCAAATCCTCACTTAAAGTCTCTTAGATGAAATAAAGAGAAAGATTTAAAAAGGAAAAGTTGCAGCTCATTTATCAACATACCTGGGGGACCAGGATCTCCTTTGCGTCCAGGAGGACCTGAAAGAAATATTTAATGGATATTTTTCAGTAGTCAGTGCTCAGTGAGGAGCATAGCAGTATGGGATTGACAGGCTTGAGGTCTGGGCTGAAGATACCACCCTTTCAGAGGAAACTCAGAGTCCAAATCTACAAATTACAGGAGGGGAGACGATCCCAGAGCCACATGTGCAGCTGCAGAGGGGATCCGGGGGTCTGCACAGGGCAGTGCTCCAGCTCCTCCAGGTGTGTCCAGATCCCCGGCTAGAGGGTCTGGAGCCAACTCCAACCCTGGGCACTGGCTCATCACTAACAGACAGGAAGACCAAATCTTGCCCTAGTTACTGGTTCATCTGAACTAGGCTTTTGGCACAGCTTTGCCAGTGGTGCAGAGGAGCCAGGTCTCTCCACTGCAGAGCTAGCATGGAGGAATGGAGCCATACCTGCAACCAGGGTGATGTTGCTCACCATCATCATCAGGTGTGCATTGCTGCTTTTGATTATGGTAATTTCCTCTTCTACGCTTCTCCTCCAGTTTTCTTCCTGTCCCAAGTACTCAGCAGAGCTTCTCTCCGAAATCAGACTGTTGGCAAAGGAGCTCTTCAGAATCTCTTCTGTATAGGAGGTATTTTGCTCCTGAAATTTCAATATCTCTCTCTCCATCTTAAACACTGAGGAAACAAAAAGCCCATACAGTGAATATTCCCTGTCTGGTCTGACTGGGAAATGCCTGTTTGGCAGAGCAGTTCCTCAGCACCTGGGAGAACACCTGGAGATAAAGACCACCCCTGTTTGAACCAGGGAGGTGATTTTCGTGTGCCAGTCCTTGCTGCAGCCAGGAGTTCAGCCGGGAGTGCTTTTGCAAATGCAAAGCACGTGTCTGGGGTGGGGGAATAGTTTCCTTCAGCGACTGCTTTGCCTCCTGGTGTGCGGAGGAGCCTCTGTGCTCCCTCAGAGGTTTCCGATCTGCGTGCTCATTCCCGCTCACCCATGCCCCCAGAGCACCCAGCAAAGCTCTCTTTCGATGCCAAGCCCATGGTAAGGCTGTAGCATTACCTTTGTACACCAGCAGCCCCTGGCCGGCCGTCAGCAGCAGCAGGTAGATGCCAAGGGCCGTTCGAGCACAGCATGCGGATGGCTTCCTCTGGCCTTGAGGCTCTAAAAAACAACAGAAGTAGGGTAGGCACCCTCCCACACATGCTCTCCCCTGCAAACTCTGCTTGCTTCCAGCGTTTCAGGCTTGGCCACAATAAATTAGCAGTGTTTTCTAGCGATGGGGAGCAGAAAGATCCCTCTGTGAGAGTGCTTGATCCTGTCAAAAGGCAGGCTGCCTTCCTCTCCTCTGGCCTTTGGACCGCAATTCACTTGGCTGTCTTTTCCTTAGCCAGTTTAACCAGCTCAATTCCATCAAGACTTAATCCAACCTATAACAAGTTTGAATGTGGTGGTTCTCCCCTCTCTGTATCAATAAACACCTTGTTTCCATTGCTTTTAGTTGTCCAAGGCTGCCATTCAGCATTCAGGCTGCTCAAAGCAATGCCCTCTCCATCCTGAGTGCTGCATACCTGTGATTCCAACAGTGATGCATGTATGCATCAAAACTAATGAAAAATCAATAATAAACTGAACTGAAGAACAAATGGAGACAAGTCATAATGTGTAAAACAAATCATTGTCAGCAAAGTGTAAAAAAATTAAACTGCTTTGTCAAATTTTGCCCTTCAGGAAGAAAAAAAGTATTTCAGAAGCACTAATAACTACTTCAGACACTCAGTAAGTTACCCTTAATTGAGGTTTTTTTTTTTTTTCTTTTTCAAAGCAATGTAATCAGGAGTTTAAAGTCTTAGTTTTAAAAGAGTACAATGTTTTAATTGGTTTTACAATAGAATGGTTTAGTCAGCAATGAAATATTTATACTCAGCTAAAATTCATAAACGTACATTTTTTATTGGGTCTGGTGATTTTAGTATCTTAACTATTAAGACATGAAAATTTTACTCAAGAAAATTAGGCATTTTCTAAAACAGGAAAATAATTTTTTTCTGATGATCAGCATCAGCTTTTGGCTAGAAAGGACATTTTGACATGCTTCCATTCTTAAATGGCAGTTAATTTACTAGCAAATTCAGTGTAGAAAGTATTTAATATGCAATATTTCATTTTTATTTGTTGTTTTAGACCAGATAAAATCCATTTAATAAAAAGAAATCTTACCACTTATCTGAAAGGTTGTGGTAGAAGCTGAGGCAAACCCAATCTTGTCGGAAATACTGAGACTGTTCATATCACTCAAATTTTGATCTTCCCCAGATCTTTCTTTAATTTTCATGACAAATTTCTTGTGGCTAACCTACAGCCTTGTCCGATTAGGGACAATAAAGAACTGAAGGGACTTCCTCACTGTCTCCTGATTTGATATGCTTTCTGATATGCATTTCCTATCTGCTCAGTTTTTATAGACTACTGAGAACTCTGATGTGGTAATTTGAACAGTTCCTCAAAAAATCCCACAGCTAAGAAATTCAGCTGCTCTCATGTTCTCACTTGGAGTCCATGGAGCCTTGGGCAGGATCCTGAAAAAGTCTCAACCAGGAGTTATTCAATATCTCTGCTTTATAGCAGTGTTAGGCATGAGATGGACATTTTGTTCCTAACACAAGTAAACCTCCTCATGTAGTCAAGAAGATCTCATGTGCAGTGTTAGCTTGGAGATCCATCCCCAGGGAGGGGAAGTTAAGGACTTCGTAGTAACAAAACACACAGTAACTTGCACCAAGATGATATCTTAGTGATGGTGCATTACTGAAGTCAAAGAAGGGAAAGAATCAGGAGGAGCTGTAAAGACAAACGAATGATGGCGGGATGGGGGATGCTGAAGACTAAATGCTTTTGGGATGGTATGGAGAAGACACTTGCAGCCTCCTTGCAGTCTCTCCAGCCCCTGCTTCCTCCCTGATCCATTTTTCACACCCAGGGACACAATTCCTACCTCTTCACTGTTTCTTTGCTCACATGCTGAAAAATTCACCCCTGCAGACCTTGCCACAGTATTTTGCATTTTGGCATCTCTGTGTCATTTTTGATTTTGATTTTGCAAAGCAAAGTGACTCACTCAAATCCACAGGCAGGAGCTGTTGGTAGGTGCTGGGAAGAGCCCTCCTCATCCACGCTGCCACCACCATGTGCTGCCCTCTTCGAGGTGCAGGGCAGTCCCTGGCACACAGTTCGTTCCTGGGCTGCAGGTCTGTGCTCATCTCTGGGGCTGCTGCGTCCTCACTGCTTTGCTTGGCCATGGAGTAAAGTGTGGCCTAAGCTTCAGGTAGAGGTGAGCTGGAAATCCACACCCTGTGTGCAAAGTGAAGCCCTCTGTTCTGCACCTGATGTACAGACCTCTGAAAGACCTAAACCAAAAATATGTGGGGATTTTTAAATCTACTTCTGTGTTCTCCTTTTAAATGTGCTTGTGCAGCTGTGAACTGGTTTGTCACCAGCAGGGAGGAAGAGAAATCCTCCATTATCATATATTCTGCTACACTCCATAGGAATTGGGATAATTTGCTTCCTTGTGAAGGGCTCAGATATCCCTTTGAACTAGGGTGACTTCAGAGGTTATCACCAATCAGGTGAGCCACACTAATGACCTGTGCATCCTCTACCTTCATGGCATCACCTCCTCACTGGGGTAAGGTTGTATCCAACCCATTTCTAATGGTTTGTTGGGTTCAGCTGAGCACTCTGCACAAGCCTGAAGCCATCTACTCTTGCTGGCCTAGGTGATGAGTTAGGAATGACTGCACTTGTGCTGCCAAGTGGACATTTATAGGGATGGATGTGATTCAGGTGCACCCAGGGAGCACATTTACAGCAGAGAGGCTTTTAACAATACCTCTAGTCAAATCTTACTTCAAATTTTACTTCAAAGCATTAAAAATAAGCTGGCAACTGTAGTTCTCAAAAGCCCTCCTAAAGACAAAAGGTGCAACGAGATCTTTGTGCTGTCCTTCCCTGAGAAAGAAGTTCAGGGATAAGTTTTTGCACCACTGATGGTCATGCTGTGGCCATGCTACTCTCAGTGACCCGGATGGCATGGGTGCAAAGCAGGGGTAGACATCCTTGATTCTGACAGCCCTGATCTTCACTGCTTCAGTGTTCCAACATACAGTGCTCCTTGGGGGAGAAAGTCATGATCCCTCCGACTGCAGTTGCCTACCCAGCTGGTCAAACCTTTATTTCTATCTGATGTAGCCTCATGCAGCTCTGTGAGCTGCCACATTCCCATTGCTCAGGTGAGCATCTGGCTGCCTGGGAGTGTTGTGGTGTGTTTCTATCTGGGTGTCAGCCTCTGCACACAGGCAGCGGATTTCCCAGTGCACATGGGGATCTCGGCCACACTGTGGATGCCAGAGATAATGTACCAGAATGCTGGCTCAGCCTTTGCATGTGCTCCCTGCTCCTGCTTCCTACTCTGCTTTCTTGATGCCTTTCATTTCTCACTGCACCATCACCGGCTGCAGCAATAGGTCTCTGATTTTGCAATCAGGGTTACTAAATCAGGAAAGAAAAAAAGAAAAGAAACTGCTGATTCAGTGTAATCTCCCTAGGTTGATGTTTTGCTGAAACAATGGGATTATTAATAGAATAAGTTTCCAGCACATTATGGGACATGTCTGCTGGGCCATCAGCCTTATCCTTTGGGCTCTCTCAGAGGAAGCCCCAGTCCCTCTCCTCCTGCTCCTCGTCCTGCATCCCCTGACATGTTCTTCTGACGTTCAAGGAAGAGCTTGAAGTCCTCTGGCTCATCCCTTCCCTTCCTGCACTCTGATATCAGTGGCTCGTGACAGGCAGAAGGTTCTCCCCATGCTTTCCCTGTAAATGTGTGCCACATATAAACCAAGTTTTATAAACAGATGCTCAAAGTCACGGGCCTGGGGGGAACTACTGGTGGAATGAATAGGAAGTGGCCTGAAAGTGACTGGTGGAGGGAAAAGTCCCAGGCGTACCCACTACCTTTCTCATGTCCTTCCACCACTGTTGTCTGCTGCGAGCATCCGCCACCATCAAGAGCTCACGATAGAGCAAAGAGATGTAACACAAAACTCCAACCTGGCAACAGCCAAACATGGTGGTTCCCAGCAGTGGTACTGCCAGGGTACTTGGGCAGATGTCAGCCTCCTCAGGATAACCATTTATCCTGAAAGAGCTGAAGCTGTGATTTGCTGAAGACACCCTAGCTGAGAGATGTTTCTCCATTTGTCCATAAGAAGGTAATTTTTTCAGACTCATCTATTTGATTGCAGACTGTCTTGGGCATAAATATGCAGAATTCAGAAAGCTTTCATGCCCCTCCCAGGATGAGGAAAAGAGGAGACGATGGCACAAACAGGTCCTATATCAGGTAAGCTGAGACAGGAATCTCCACCATTTCTGCTGTTGCCTCTAAACTGAAGTGAGAGTGGCAGCCAGAAAAGGTGACAGTCTATTCCTTATCACAACACCTGTACTCATGTTTCTGCAGATGTGCTCCAGACCAAAAAATAATCCTGCCCACAGACTACACTGCTCTCCCACAGATAAAACCAAGTAGTTGTGCTTTGACATGTGACACAGCCCATACATGCCCACTCCAAAGCCAGTAGTGACCAGAGCTGTACAGTTGACTCCCTCAAAGGCAGGGAGACCCTGCACAGAGACCTTGACAAATTAGAGGGCTGGGCAATCACCAACCATATGACGTTCAACAAGGGGAAGTGATGGATTCTGCACCTAGGATAGGGCAACCTTGGATGTTCATACAGACTGGGTAATGAGATGCTGGAAAGCAGTGCCAGGAAAGGAACCTGGGGGTCCTGGTTGATGGCAAGTTGTATCTGAGTCAGCAGTGCCCTGGCAGTCAGGAGAGCCAGCCATGTCTTGGGGGGCATCAGGTAAAGCATTGCCATCTGGTTGATGGAGGGGATTGTTCCTCTCTAATCTGCACTGGTGTGGCTTCACCTTGAATATTGTGACAGTTTTGGTCACCACAGTATAAGAAAGATATTAAGCTATTAGAGAGCATCCAAAGAAGGGCAATGAAGATGGTGAAGGCCCTTCCCCCCACTCCTCCCATTTTACTGATTTTTCAGCCTTTTTCTTTTTGAAATGAATAAGATTGTTGAATTTTGAAATATGATCTCTTGTGGTGGATTGACCACAGCCATCAGACAAACACCCACCCAGCTGTTCTTTCAGTTTTCTTTCCTGAAGGATGGGAGAAGGTAGCAGGAAGATGAGAAGACTCATGGGTCAATGTAACGATAGTTTAATATGGAAAGCAAAAGATGCACTTGCAAGCAAAGCAGAAAGAGGAATTCATTTTCTACTTCCCATCAGCAGGAAGATAGGCAACTGCTTCCTGGGAATCAGGGTCACAGCACGTGTGATGGTTGTTTGGGCTGACAAATGTATGAATGAAAAACTTCCTCCTTCTTTCCCTGAAATTCTGTCACTGAGCTTGACATCACACGGTGCAGAATATCCACAGGGTCTGTTCAGGTCAGCAGCCCCTGCTGTGTTCCCTCACAGTCTCTTGCCCAACCCTGACCTACTCCCAGCCTTGACATTGTGCAAGCTCTGCTCACAGTAACCAAAACGTCAGAGTGTATCAACAGTGGTTAAAAAAAAAGTGTATCTAGCTCCCAGGGCAAGAAATGGTGCATTACATGGAGAGTTTCCATGCAGAAGAGAAACTGAGGCCAATAGACAAGTTCTAAAGCCAGGGCATTAAAACAAATCTTGAGCCTTTACTCATATGGAAGCAGGGGCCTTGTTGTGAAGCCCCCCATGTCCCTGAATGGCCAGATCTGTGCTCAGGGGGTCTGGCTGCTGCAGTAGCACCTGGGCACTCCTGGGACTGTGAAGAAGCACTTGTGCTAAAGCAATAAAATCCCCAGCACTGCCTGGTTGACATTTCTCCTTTCTAGCTTGATGTGTTGCTTGGCTTTGTTGTAGAGATTGAAACCAGATTTTCTTTCCCTTCTATGCGTTATGTTAATTTGTGTTTCATCAGAACTTGCCTTCTCTCCTCCTTTTTTTTTTCCCCCTTTAGGCTGGATCCAGCTGCACCATGAATTCAAGGAACCACCTGCAAAATATTTTAATGACTTCAACCTGCTCTTTGAGGTGAATTAATACCAGAGCAGCCTCCACAGCATGGTGAAATAGTCAGGCTTGGCTAAGCAGGCCACCCTCAAAGCCGAAAAATATGTTCTTACAAGGCAGATGCTCCTGACTGGCAACTTTGTTTTCAAGGTCTTCGTATAGTGTCTTGTTCCTCACCTGAAGACAGTTGTCATCTATTCCAGTAAGAGCTGATCCT